CAGCAGCTAGGTATTTGCTGCAGCGCAGCAGCAGCTAGGTGTTTGCTGCAACGCAGCAGCAGCAAATAACCACATGCTCGTTAAGATGCGCTGAAGCAGGACATTGGGGTGTGCGTGCACCTGGTGTGCGTACACCCCACGCAGTTTGCTTCGAAACCAAATGAGAAAACATAAACCCTAAACCCTAAAACCTAAACCCTAATGATAAGTGTGGCAAATGCAAACAGACAGCTGTAAAGAGTGGGGCCGACGGCTTACATGCAGTCAGCGTCGCTGTGATGCTTCAAGGCCTTTGCTGCTGCTGCTGCTGCCGCTGCTGCTGCTGCTGCCCCCTTGGGTGTAGCGTCCATACACCGCGCTGTGCGACGGCGTCGCTCCCGCTGCAGCGTACATGGCCGCACCCGCAGCAGTTGCTGCTGCAGGTACTGCTGCTGCTGCTGCTGCAGGAGCTGGCGCGGGGTAGGAAGTGTAGCCGGAATGCACAGGCGAAGCAGCAGCAACAGGCTTCTGCTGCCGCCTGTGCTCATAGTGCCCTGATGACAGCTGCTGAGACACAGGGGCCTCCCTGCTCGGGGGCCCCCCATACACCATGTGTTGCTGCTGCTGCGGCTGCTGCTGGGCGTAGACAGCAGAGGGGGCCCCAGCAACTGAGAAGGGGCCAGCGGAGGACTGCCGCTGCTGCTGCAGCAGCTGTTGCTGCTGCTGCTGCAGCAGCTGCTGTTGCTGCTGCAGCAGCTGCTGCTGCTGCTGGGCGTAGCTGCCGCTGCTCTTGTGGCTGGGAGCAGCAGAAGCAGCAGCTGCTGCGGGCTGCTGCTCGCCCACAGAGTGGTGCGTGGTGCTGTGGCGCGAAGAGCCTCGCGCATCGCCCTCTCCCGCACCTGCTGCTGTAGCCCCGCTGCTGCTGCTGCTGCTGCTGCCGCTGCTGCTGCTGCTGCTGCTGCTGCTGCTGGGGACTGTGGAAGCTCCTGAAGTGCCCTGCGAAGAGGCCCCGTGGCCGTGTCTGTGGCGCCTCGTTTCCCTCTTTTTTCGAATTACCTCATTATAAACTTTTTCTCTGTAGTCTTCAACGGAGTATCTGCAGCCGTACGTACACCCCAGCAGCGAGCAGCAGCCCATGCAGCAGCGCCACCAAAGAGTTGCACAACGCTCTACTGCAGCAGCCCCGCTGCTCCTGCTGCTGCTGGAGGAAGCAGCAGCAGATCTACGGGCTTTTTCCGCAAAAGTATAAAGCTTTTATTCTCACTTTGTGTTGTCATCAATGGGAATTGTTATTATGCGGCCACAAACAGGTTCATCTTCGGGATTATGAAATTGCCTCACGTAGGGGTGCTCGAGGGCTTTCTCTGCGCTGTACGTACACCCGAGCGCAGCACAGACTCACAGGGGATACGGCAGCAGCAGCAGCAGCAGCTGCAGCAACAGTCGCAGCAGTATCAGCAGCAACAGTAGAAGCAGCAGCAATAGCAGCAGCAGCAGTAGCAGCAGCAAACCTTATTCGTTTCAAGGGGTTAAACTGCAGCAGCTGCCGCAGCAGATCCAGTGCCATGGGCGGCGCGTCCGGGAAGTAGTCTTCGAGTTTTCTGCAGAGTCAGAAAAGGTTGCAGCAGATTGGAAGAACAAATAGAAGAGTTTCATCTGCTTATCGCAGTAGAATCAGACACATGCGGGGATAGAGAGTCCAGCAGCAGCAGTAGCAACAGCAGCCGCGGCAGCAACAGCAGCCACCGCAGCAACAGCAACGGTAGCAGCGGCAATAGTAACAGCACTAGAAGCGGGAGTAGCTGCAACAGCAACAGTAGGAGTAGCAGGAGTAGCAGAAGCAGCACTAGCAGCAGCAACACCAATAGCAGCAGCAGCAGCAGCAGCAGCAGCAGAGGCCTCACTTTTGCTTCACCACAGGGAGGCCCTCCATCATGGTAGCAGCAAAGGGGCTTCTTATTGCTGCCACGTCTTCGCGCGAAGGCCATCCAGTCAGCGTCACGACGCGCTCGAGTTGGTTCAGAGTAGAAGACCCTGCGCAGCAGCAGCAGCAGCAGCAGAAGCAGCAGCAGCAAGAGCAGCAGCAGAGCAGCAGCACCACCACATAAACGGGGCAAGGCAACGTCCAGGGCACAGCGAGGGCGATGTAGGGTTTCCAGATAGGGTTTAGGGCTTGCAGCTCATTCGGGTTTAGGGTTTCTGCAGCTAGGGTTTGTGCCGCGAGTGTTTATCCCAAGAGAGCCGCGAACCAGGGTTTGGGGCTTCGTAAGGAGCGGGGGGAAAGGGTTTAGGCTTTGCTGAAGAGGGTTTAGCGTTTAGGGCTCGCTGAAGAGGGTTTGGTGTTTAGTGTCTGCTTAGGAGGGTTTAGTGTGCAGTGTCTGCTTAGGAGGGTTTAGGGTTTAGTGTTTGCTGAAGAGGGTGTACTGTTAAGTGCTTGCTGAGGAGGGTCGAGGGTTTAGGGTTTGCTGAAGAGGGTTTAGTGTTTAGTGTTTGCTGGAAGGGTTTGGGGCGCAGTGTGTGCTGAGGTGCGTTCCGTGTGTGCTGGGGGGGTGCAGCGTTTGAAGTCGAGGGTTTAGGGTTTAGGGTTTGGGTACCGGGGAAGACGGGTTCCCCCGAAAGCAACTCTCCCAAAATGCACCCAAAATCGAGGGTTTAGGGTTTAGGGCTTAGGGTTTCTGTACCGGGAAAGACCTGCTAGCACCTCCCCCCCAATGCACCCAAAGTCGAGGGTTTAGGGTTTAGGGTACGGTTTAGGGTTTGTGTATCGGGAAGAATGGGCTCCCCCGAAAGCAACTCCCCAGCATGCACCCAAATTCGAGAGTTCATTTAGGGTTTAAGAGTACCAGGAAAGATGAGTTTCTTCGAAACCACCTCCCCCAAAAAGCCCCCAAAGTCAAGAGTTTAGCGTTTAGTGTTTGAGTATCGGGAAAGGTGTGCTTCCCCAAAAGCACCTCCCCCAGAACGCCCCCAAAGTCAAGGGTTTACGGTTTAGGGTTTAGGGTTTGAGTACCGGGAAAGATGGGTTCCCGCGAACCACCTCCCTCAGCATGCCCCCAAAGTCAAGGGTTTAGCGCTTAGGGTTTAGGGTCTGAGTACCGGGAATGACGGGTTTGTCCCAACGCAGTTCACCCAAAATGCACCCAAGACCGGGTTTAGGGTTTAGGATTTGCGTACCAGGAAAGATGGGTTTCCCCGGAAGCAGTTCCCCCAGAATGCACCCAAGACCGGGTTTGGGGTTTAGGATTTAGGTTTTAGGGTTTGAGTACCAAGAAAGATGGGTTTCCCCGAAAGCAGTTCTCCCGAAATGCCCGCGAGCTCAGGGTTTAGGGTTTAGGGTTTAGGGTTTGCGTACCGGGGAAGATGGGTTTCCCGGAAAGCAGCTCCCCCAAAATGCACCCAAGACCGGGTTTAGGGTGTAGGGTTCAGGTTTAGGGTTTAGGGTGTGAGTGCCAGGAAAGACGGGTTCCCCCGGAAGCAGTTTCCCCAAAATGCCCCCCAACTCAGGGTTTAGGGTTTAGGGTTTAGGGTTTGCGCACCGGGAAAGATGGGCTTGCCCGAAAGCAGCTCCCCCAAAATGCACCCCAACGACCACATGTCCACGCCCTTCGTGTAGCAAGTCGAGCCCAGCAAAATCTCGGGGGCTCTGTACCAGCGCGTGGCGACGTAGTCGGTGAGGACGGGGTTGCTGCTGGCGTCGCCGCCCTCTGCGTGCGCCACCGACCGCGCCAGCCTGACGCGCAAACCCCAAACCCTAAACCCCAAACCCTAAACCCTAACCCTGAAGTCACGTGCTGCGGGGGGCGACAGGCGGCGGGAACGAGGGAACCAGACGCGCGGGATGCGGACCGGGTCCGCGGACTCTCGGAAAATGCGCATGTTCAAGCTAAACCGGAAACCCTAAACCCTAAACCCTAAACCCTAATACACCCTGCAAACCCTCAGAAACCCCGAATGGGGGATCTCCTCTCACCCGAAATCCGCCACCTTCACGTGGCACTCGCTGTTCAGCAGAATGTTCGAAGGCTTCATGTCGCGGTGCAGCAGTTCGCCTGCAGCAGCAGCAGCGGCAGCAGCAGCAGCAGCAAAACAGAGGCGCTTTTGTCTCAGGCTCGCGAGGCTTGTTGAGAGTCACCGGGCAGATTTGGTCCGCACATGAAGTGGACGTACACCCGGAGGCCTGTGGAAAGCCCTGGAGGCGTTGCGGTGTATGCACAGCTCAGGAGGAGTGCAGCCTCACCAGAGTGCATGTATTTGATGGCCCGCAGAAGCTGATAAATGATATATTGTTTGTGAATTGCTTCGAGGATTTGCGCGCGAATGACGGCGTGTAGATCGGTTTCTGATCGCACAAGGCGCAAGCGGGAGGTGTCGATACACCCGGCACGCGGCGCAGAACGCGGGGTGTACGTACACCCGGGAACTGCGGCCGCTGCACTGACCCATGAAGTCGAAGACCAGATATATATCTCTGTCGTTGTCGGCCTTGAGGACGTTCATGAGACGCACAATGTTCTCGTGGCCAGCCAGCTGCTGCAGAAACATTATTTCCCGAAAAGTCCGCTGCGCATCTGTAGCATTATGAAAAGCCTCGAAGATCTTCTTCAGCGCCACCACTTCGTTTGTGCGGCGGTCGTAGCTCTTCCACACCACTCCGTACGCCTGCGCCGCTCAACGCCAAATCCTAAACCCTAAACCCTAAACCCTCGACCCTGGGCCCTGAGCCCTAGAGCCCTGTGCTCTGCTTCGGCACCAGCAGCTGCTGCTCCGCTGCTGCGCTGTTGCGGCTGCTGCTCACTCCGCAGCAAAACAGCCCAGCCAGCCCCCCGCGAAGGCGCAGCAACAGGAAGCAGCAAGGGGAAAACCTAAACCCCAGATAAACCCCAGAAAAGGGCTTGGGGGACCAGAGGCCACAACTAAAGCCAACTGCGAGGCGCAGGCTCGGGGCAGGAATGCCCGGGCTGGGGTGTACGTACACCCGGGAACCCACAGCCGCGGAGCAGGCGTTGGGCAGCTGGCGCGTGTTGGGGTGTACGTACACCCGGAAACGCAGGACTCACCCCCTTTCCGAGCTTCTGGACAATGTCATATTTGCGGAGAACGTGTTTGTCAACATCT